AATGCGACGAAGTACGAGATATGGGATCAACCCACCCATTAAACCTAAAGGATGTGACTTTAACTATATCCCTATTCTTATTATTAATAATACTGAAATAAATATTAATACAATCAAGTATAATACAATTTGAATATATTTATGCGATATAATATAATAATTACTAAGATATTGCATCTTTAATTGTTTATTAAAAAACATGATACCAGATTATTTATTCATATTTTTTATATTATACTGGACTTAAAACCCTTAACAACTTTTTAAAATCGTATATAAGGAAGTGAACTATTATGAGAAATTAAACAATTAAATATGTTTAAGTACAATAAATTGTGGATATAGTAGACAATATTTAATATATGAACCATTTAAGATTTATTCATAGAATTTACATAGATAATATTGCTATTATTTTAACGTAACGAAACAAATGACCTTGATTCGATTACTTGAAAACATAGAATATGAAGGACTACTTAACAGCATGATAATACTAGATTTTAGACAGCTATCCAGTAAATTGCTAAAGTTAATAAATTAACATTAGATAATCAAAATTATTATTAAAATTGCAATAGCTTTTTGTTGTAGGTATGAGATATATGTACGTCTAAATGGTTTACAATTTTGATATGGAAAAAAAACCAATAGGACCACAATTGACTACTTAATATATTATATTTAGTAAACTCGTTTTATAAAAAACATTCAGGTGATTAACAGTATAATGTAATTAAATAAGTAATCATGCTGTTATTAAATAAAATCAAAACCGTAGTTATTGTAATTTAGTGCAATTAGAGGAGTAAGTAACTGCATAGTAGCTGCATTTAGTTTATTGACTTTGCTGATAAGAAATTGTGTAAATCGTTCAAATAAAAAAATAAGTCTTAATTATATGAATCAATATCAATATCATTTTAAACTAGAATTATTCCTAAATTATTATTACAATTTAAACGTGATATTTAACCTTGAAAAATAATCTCTTCAAAATTATTAAAAATAACACACGACAGTCTCATATTTCAGATCACATCGTAATCGTGTGTAAGCGTTTCTAAAAATTATTGCATGCATATTGCGCCATTTAGTTAATCTATTTAATTCATTTAAATACGTAAGAATACATAAAATCATTCGATTTAAGATAGGAAAGACAAAATGTTATTAGTTAACTAAATAAATATATTGCGCATCCCTACACTTTTTATACCTCGAGAACGTCGTTCTATTCTAGCTCATTTGTAGACTCAGCTAATTGCCTTTGCACGTAGGCTACTTCCATTTGCTTACGTACATCGATGAACACCCAGGTTTTTTCAAAACAAGAGATTAAAAGGTTAAGCTACTAGGGGTGTGTTCGTAAAGAGAACAACTGATAATTATTTCATAATTCTATATTTATATATAGTGGACTGACCAGTGCTCGAATTTCGATCACATTTACGTGACGTTCCCTTTTCTACAATATAAGTTTTATTCACACTCGCTAACAATAAAGCAGGTCTACAAAAAAAGAAGAATACAACGATGTTTTCCATGTAAAAAAAAGATAAAGGGATGTGCGATATATTTATTTAGTTAATTAATTACGCTCTACAATCTTTATTGTTCGTATAATAAATATATATTTTATATGTATGCTTTCTCAGAAACCATTTGAACTTCTATATTAATTGTTATTTTACGGTGTAAATTGTAAGAATTATACTTTGAAAACTAAAATTATTTATATCTTTTACTGATCAAAACATTTATATACCAACTTAAAATCATCTTAAATTAATATAAAACTTTAATAATCGTAGAAGTATTAAAATCAGATTAACAAACTAATAGAATGACTTCCTATAATGGAACAAACCCTTAACACAAGTTCTAAAGTTAAACATTTTACATCTTATAAAAATGTAAATAAAATATGGAAATACTTGGTTTCCAAGTACTTTGACAAACAGATTCATCATTTTGTAACACTTAGACTACACTCATAAAAACCGAAACCAAGTAGAAATGCGTATATATGTTTGTTCTCGTATGCTACTTACACACATTTACATTCGCCAACAGAAATGATTCATAAGTGTTTTCTAGTATGTTGAGGCTAGTTCAGTCAGTGCACTTGAGCACTTTTACTCTCTACTAACTGGGAGGTTTCTTCATAACCGTAGAGAGATCTGCATACCTCCCCGAGGAACCTTTAACCATTCTAATATTTGATAATGCGATGTTGGTAAGTCTGTCCGTTTTCGTAGATAGTTTCAGGGCTCTATTCTTTATATATTTTTTAATCGGATCGATCTTGAGGGAGGCATGGCACTTTGAAAAGTCTTCTCAGAGTCTGGTTTTGTGCATTTTCCAGCTGGTGAATAGTAGTGTTTTCGTTGACGAGTACCAGTGCTAATGAATGATGGTCACAAGAGTGCGTACACTTTTCTAAATTGCGTAATACACATGGCAGATGACTTATGTGTCATAGCTTATACTTGAATAGTATAAATCAATGGGTGCACTTATCAAAATTTAATGACTGCCGAACAGTTCGAACAGTTTTGGCATTCGTAGAAATTTTTTGTTATTAGAGTATGGCTCGAGCATTGAGTACTCATTGGAGTTCTTCGATACCGAATAGTGAAGAAATAATCAATATAATTACTTACTCCCAATGACGTGCTGAGGTATGTTCTTAAGTAATACAATATTGTTACCTAATCAATAATATGCGTGTGTAAATTATAAGGTAATTTAATGAAATTCAAATTATTTGTAAAATCAAAATAAAGTCAAATTTCTTTTTCGTCATTGCTATATATCGGTGTCTTTTAAATTATAAAAAACCATAACACTAAATACACTAAATAAACTTTTTTAACATTAATTGGAATAACTTAGCTTCTTTTAGCAGGGGCAACTTTCTTGAACGGACAAAAATTAAGTGACGCTGACTGTTCGCTTAAGAGAATTTTCACGAAACAATAAATTCAATTATTTTGAATTAACAAACGGAGGTGTGAACGTCTTTCTTAAATAGTCCGAGTTAATTGAGATAAAGTAAATTGAAATTTTTTGCACTACACTTATGTAAATATTTATTAATTTATTTATTGCACTAATTTATTATTTTTGGTTAAAAGTTTTCAAATTTATTTATTTATTTATCTTGTCTTATAAAAACATCTTATATCATCTTATAAAATTTTCACATAGGTAAGACCTAATTATCCTAAATTTTATCTAATTTACCCTACTCGAAATTCTGGTAAATATCAACATTCGCTGCCATACCGAGATAATTTACTACTTCCCTCAATTTACCATCAATTTACTTGAACTCGCACACGACCCTAAAAGCATTTCACCATTCGCTTAATCAATCTTGCGATTATTACACACTTAGCATCAAAATTCTTTAAACATTTATTAGTTTGAAAAATTAGTTTGAACATTTTTTCAAGTGTAAACAGTTAAGGCAAAATCGGTAGTTAAATAATTTATTTTGACATAAACACAATTATGAGCACCAAAAACAGATGTTCAAGACCTTTACGAATGGCAAATATTTTTGTGCTTATTGCGCAAAATGTGTTAGAATAAAAATTTGTTGAACTCAAATGAAATTGATATGCGATGCGAGCACTTGATTTATAGTTTCTTGTCTGTCAATTCAACTTGAACAATGCATTTGATTGCTGATACTGTATTGATATTGAAATTGAAATTATTTGAATTGTTTAAGTTATGTTAATTACTAGAATAAAACGCCTATTACAAGCAAGTTTAAGATTTTATTTAAAATTTATTTATGCACAAAGAATACATTTGTTATGTCACTTTTAAACAGAAAATAACACAAATATTATTGTTTTTAAATAATCTTTGCTTGGCTCTCAGGTTTTAGTAAGTTTTATCAACAAACTATACTAATTTTTATTTGTTTACTTACTTCTTTGACAAAAGTTATTGGAAAAACGTGAAGTCTTGCTTATATTAAAATTTCAAATTCGTGGCGGTCTACTATGTGTTTAAATAATTCCTAATTTGTTTTTAATATAGTTTTTTGTGTTATAATAATAATTTTACTAATCACCACTGCACTGAAATTATTTATATTTTTAAGCTCTCCTTTCCTCGTGAAGCACACAAGTTGAAAGGATAGCAAGAAGAGAACAAATCATAGACAAGGACTGAACTGTCAACTAGAAAAGTATTCACAATATTATGTTCCGTGACGTGCTGTCATGGAATTATTCAACTTAATACACATTTGTCAAGTCATAATATATATTTGCATAATTTTGCGGTTTGTGGTTTATAATAGTCATAGTCATACTAACAATAAAGTACAAGTTTGCAAGTTTTATTTGATTATGGATGCAAATCGATTTTATTGATTTTTTTTAAATAGTTTTTTCCTTGACAATCAAAACATTTCAAAAACGTGTTTGGTATGAAGAACTGTCTAGTGTTTTATTGAAAACACACATATTGCCAATTTTTATACATATAAAAATATTTATAATACAAATAATTCCCATTAAAATTGATTTAAAATAATTTATGTTGCGTACTTTGTCTTTAATGTCAAGTTCAAGTTAATGTTTTGTGTGTCAGAGAGTAAAGAGTATAATTTTGAAACTTTAATACTAAACGAAAACTTTTTGCATAGTTTCAATAGCCGGTGATTTAGTTTTTATAAATTTATTTTCTATTTGTTATAAACAAAAGTCAATGTGCTTATTACATAAACACATACATACATACATCTATAAACAGTTTTAATAAAAACAAAAAAGAAATAGTATAAATGATTTACATTATTTGACAGAAGCTTGTCAGCTTTTAAAATTAATTTCCCCCAAAAAGTTCAACAAAAAATTTGAAGCAGACGTCATT